GAGCAACCAAGCAAAGGATGCTTCCTCTGGGGTGTGGCCTATTTCCAATATAATGGAAAAGGCTCTCTCTCCCTTCCACTGTAGACCTCGGACTCTACAATTGTAAGCCATTTCTGTGATGATACACTTCTCTTTATATATATATTTCATTGGTTTTGCTTCTCTTGAAAACCCGGCCTGAGACAGTATACCTCACCCAAGTCATGACATTTTCAATAGCCTCATCTGCATGTGAAAGTTGAACAATTAATAAGGAAGATGGTAGAAGAATTGACGCATTTTAGTTATGGTGTTGGAGGACAATATTGCATATACCATGGGCTGCCAGATGAACAAACAAATCTGTTGGAAGAAGTATAGCCAAAATGCTCCTTAGAAGCCTGGATGGTGAGTCTTCCTATCTCATGCTTTGGACATACTATCAGGAGGGACCAATCCCTGGAGAAGGACATCATGTTTGGTCAAGTGGAGGGTCAGTGGTAAAGAGGAAGCTACCCAATAAGATGTACTGGCATAGTGGCATCAATTGGGAGGATGGTGCAGGACTAGGTACTGTTGCATTCTGTTGTGCACAGGGTCGCTATGAGTTGGAACCAACTTGATGGCACCTAACAACAGTAACCAGTCATAGATAACATTTCAGTTGGTATAAATGTCTTCATGAAATCTATTTCCAGGCCCTTACAAAAAATGTCCAAAGAGATATCAAAATACAAGTGTTAGTCTAAAATAATGAAAGTAATTTCTCCAAGTCACACAAGACAATCTTTCTCATTATTTCAATAGCATGGGGTTACCAAAACAACCAGTTTAGAAGCAATTAACTTATCATTTCAAATACAGTGATTTATTACCTTAAATGTTAATGGTGATGTTGAAAGTCTGGTCTTTGACTTTCTCAGATGAAAATATAATAGGGCCATTTCTAGGTAGGAGTCTCTTATCAACCTAAAATGACATAACATCATACTTACTAAATAGCTTCACCACTTATAACATTTCAAATTATTAGCTAACAATTTCTGTCCCTATGAACAATAACACTAGCAAAGATCCCAACTTAGCACCTTCTTTTCACAATATTTTTGTCTTAGACAATAGCATTTTCCTTACTAACGAAAGTGGGTGCACTTGATGTGAACTTAGCATTCTACTTTGTCTTGTGCTGGTAACCCTCGGTGCCATAATTGTTATGCGCCCAGCACTAAGGCCATCTCTAATATTCCATCATGAAAGGTACTACAAAGATGTGAAAGTCAAGACTGGAGAAATGCACCTTGGATACTAATCCTTTTTATACCCCTGACACTAATTGAAACAGAATGAGAAGCATAAGGTTATGCAGAAAGCAGTGATCTGATACGGTTTAGGTCTGCATATTCACTTTCAAATCTGTCATTTGAGGCCATTTGGATCACTTCAGCAGTAATGTTGTTAAGTACTGTCAAGTGAGTGCTGACTCATAGCAACCCTATATAGGGTTTATGTGGAACAGATGGTGGGTTTGAACTATTGATCTTGTGGTTAGCAGACTGATGCTTATTGTATAGGGTCACACCAGGACTCCTCAGTAGTAGTAACAGTCATTTAATCTCAATATTCAGGTGATTTTCATACAGAAGTAAATTGACCAGCATCTTTGCTGATAACCAGAATGAATATTCACATAAATCCCTTCTATAAACAACTCACAAGGGATGTGAACTATATTCTGGAACACACAGGCTAGAAATCAGTCTCAGTCCAGTATATTAACATCAATCATTTCCACAAGTGAAGTCTTGGTTCAGAGCCAAGAGCAACATTCTTAAAAAGTAAATTGGTACACCTGTTGGACAGATTTATCCCAGTGAACTAACCCTAACATGAAGAGGCCTACACATCATTCCAGCTTTGAATATTTAATATTGTAAAAGAGCCTGGGTTAAAATCAAAACACACACAATGCTACAACTATGGAAAGATATTTTGACATTTTTTACCCTGAGTTTTGATCATTTTTCAGGCTTAGTTGTATAGCTTCAAATAAACTCTCAAGTTGACTATGGGGACATTTCTGGTCCATCAACATCTGACGCTCTATTTTGCCTGAAAAAAATAAAAAGATTTACAAACATGATTTTTTGTCTTTGTATATTACTGAGAATTTAGGCACAAAATATTTTGCTGGAAATTCAGAAACTGGATGTGCTATCCTTGGGTGTGTTTTCTATAACCTGATAGAGAAGGATCTATTTATTGCTTATTTTCCCAAGAGTTCCTAGGGTTAGTAGTAACCTAACTCGCACTGCCCAGTGAATGGTCCTTCTTGACTTCTGTTAGAGGATGTGGAAAAACTCAAGGCAAGGACATTAAGTCAGAGATTTTGCTTCCCCCAAACAACCCTCTTTCCCTCGTAATTTTCTCTCCCTTTCCTTATTTTGCTCTTCTTCCTCCTTCTACCATTCTCATTCCTCTTCTCCCACATTGTCCTCCTTCCCCTATCTGTAATCACAGAGATAACAGAAAACATGCCTGTAAAAAACAAATCATAAAACGTCAGAAAATGCTAAGAAATCATCATGGAGGAAGGAAATGTCTATGTCCTACACATCTTCCAGCTGTTATGGTGAGCCAAGACATTCAAGGATAGGTACTGGGATGGCACACAGAGAGCAAAATGGACAACGGAGGAAGACCTTATTATCACTATTAAAAGGACTCACAATTTTCATGTAACATACGGAAAGGACATAGAGCCAGTCAGTTAAACTCACATCTGAGCACTGTCATTTAGTAGATGGTGGCTTTTAGAAAGTTGTTTAACCTGTATGCACCTCATGTGTAAATCAGGATTAGTCATGCCTACCTTTAAGAGCAGAAAGCATCAAGAGACGACGGAAGGAATACACAGAGTCACTGTACCAAAAGGAAATGGTTACTGTTCAACCATTTTAAGAGGCAGTATATGATCAAGAGCCAATGAGACTCAGGGAGGAAGTCCAAAGTGCATTGAAAGAATTGGCAAAGAACACGGCTCCAGGAATTGATGGGATAAAAATTGAAATCTTTCAAGAAAGTGAGGTGGCACAGGAGGCACTCACTCATCTATGCCAAGAAATTTGGAAGACAACTATCTGACTGGCTGATTGGAAGAGATCCATATTTGTGCCCATTCCAAAGAGAGGTGACTCAATGGAATGCAGAAATCATCAGACAATCTCTTTGATATCCCATGTGACTAAAGTTTTGCTGAAGGTAATACAGAAATGGCTGCAAGCATACATTGACAGAGAACTTCCAGAAGTTCAAGCTGGATTCAGAAGAGGCCGTGGAATGAAGGATATCATTGCTGATGTCCGATGGATCTTGGCTGAAAGCAGAGAATATCAGAAAGATGTTTACCTGTGCTTTATTGACTACGTAAAGGCTTTCGATTGTATGGATCATGACAAGCTATGGACAACATTGAGAAGTATGAGTATTCCGGAATACTTAATTGTACTCATGAGGAATCTGTACCTGGACCAAGAAGCAGGTGTTCTTCGAATAGAACATGGGAACACCAAATGGTTTAAAATTATAAAGGTGTGCAACAAGGTTGTATTCTTTCACCATACTTATTCAACCTGTATACTGAACAAATAATCCGAGAAGCTGGGTTCTATGATGAAAAACGTGGCATCAGTATTGGAGGAAGACTCATTAACAACCTGTGATATACAGATGATACAACCTTGCTTGCTGAAAGTGAAGAGGACTTAAAATACTTAGTGATGAAGAACAAAGACTACAGCCTTCGGTATGGATTGCATCTCAATATCAAGAAAACAAAAATCCTCACCACTGGACCAATAAACAGCATTCTTATCAATGGAGAAAAGACTGAAGCTGTCAAGGACTTCATTCTTCTTGGATCAATCTCCAACACTCATGGAAGCAGCAGTCAAGAAATCAAATGAACTATTGCATTAGGTAAATCTGCTGCACAAGATACCTTTTTAAAGTGTTGAAGAGCAAAGATGTCAGCTTGAGGACTAAGGTGCACCTGACCCAAGGCATGGTATTTTCAATAACCTCATATGCATGCGAAAGCTGGACAGTGAATACAGAAGACCATAAAAGAATTGATGCTTTTGAATAACTCTTTGAAACACTTCTTTTGAAAGAAGTGTAGCCAGTATGCTCCTTGGAGGCCAAGATGGCCAAACTTCGTCTCTCATACTTTGGACATATTGTCAGCAGGGACCAGTTGCTGGAGAAGGATATCATGTTTGGTAAGGTGGTTGTTGTTGTTAATTGCCTTCGAGTCGGTTCCGACCCATAGCGACCCTGTACAGGGTTTCCGAGGGTGTAAATCCTTACGGGAGTAGAAAGCCTTATCTTTCTCCCACGGAGCTGCTGGTAGTTTCGAACCGCTGACTTTAATTTAAGGTTCGCAGCCCGATTCGTAACCACTACACTACCAGAGCTCCTTTTGGTAAGGTGGAGGGTCAGAGGAAAAGAGGAAGACCCATAACAAGATGGATCGGCCAAGTGGCAGCATCAATGGACTCAAGCGTGTCAACAGTAATGAGGTTGGCCCAGGACCGGGCAGTGTTTCATTCTGCTGTGCATAAGGTCGCTATGGGTCGGTACCAACTCGATGGCACCTAACAACAACAACCTTTAAGAGCAATATGGCATATAAAACATTGACAACAATGCCTGATATCTATCTAGTTGTTGTTGTTGTTATGTGCCATGGAGTCGGTTCTGACTCATAGCGATCCTGTACAGGGTTTCCAAGGCTGTAAATCTTTATGGGAGCAGAAAGCCTCATCTTTCTCCCATGAAATGGCTGGTAGTTTCTATCTAGTAGATCTCAAGAAATAACAATCATCATTGTCATGGAAAAAATGTCCACAGGGAAATAATATGAATGTAGTACCGATGTACTATATATGAGGAGGCTTCAAGAAGTTTATGGAAAAATAGAATTGAGAGAGAATGTAATTTTTTCCGTGAACTATTTGAAGGCCCCTTGATAAATAAAGCTTTGGTTAAGCCTTCAACTGCTAATCAAAAGGTCTGTGGTTCAAATCCACTAGTGGTTCTGTGGGAAAAAGAGCTGATGATCTACTGCAGTAGAGATTACAGTCTAGGAGACCCAATGGGGCCATTGTCTTCTGTCTTGTAGTGTCACTGTGAGTTGGAATTGACTTGACAGTATATAGCAACAACATAGCTAATTTAAATGGATAAGTATCTGTACTTATATAAATTAACCAAAATAGCTAAATATTACAATGATATTGAAAAAAAATCTGCTGATATTTTTTAATGAAACATGAAACTTCATGTTAGGAGGGTCAGAAGGTATGGCGTAAGCTAAGCAGTACTTTTGTTTTTCTTGCTAGATATAAAATGAAAATAAGCAGTGTTCTTTCCTCTGAAACACAATTTGGCAGGAGTCCCAATGTATTTTGTCATCACTAAGCCCCTTGTAAAAACTTGTATTTTTATAGTCAGTGACAAGATTTTCAAGATGTCTATTACTAATAGAAAAAATAAATGTCGCAAGCTTTATCATAATCTGGACTCCATGAACATTTTACCTTTCTGAAAAAGAATTTCAGCTTTCACCTCATTTTCTTCTATTGCCGATATCTTACAAAGCGTCAATGCCATTTCAAAGAGATGAAGAGCAGGTAACCACTTTGACGGGTCCTTAGTTTTATCGGTATAACATATTTTCTTGACCATGGTATGTCCTAAATGTAAAAACACACAGTTGGATGGGAGAAGGGAAAAAAGTGCACAGTTTTCAAAACAAGTGTTCAGGTCACCAGACTTCCCTCACAGAAATGGCATTTGTTAACAACTATGATTGGAGTTGCAATTTTTTCAGCTAATAAATATTTTAAAGAAACACAATACCTGATATTTCAATGAACTATAATAATAACTCTTTGAAACATTATCTTTCATAAATATTCATCAGATTTGTCATCTTTAAAATGAAGGAAAATCTCCCAAGACTCTTTCAGTTCTAAAATCTCTGATGTTCTACAAAGCAATTTCCATGTTCTTATGGTGAAATTCACTTAGTGGGGATACCTCTGGAAGATTTATGTTGTTCCTATAAAATCTGCATATATTAATAATAGATAGTAATTGTCTGTCTACTTAGTACTTATAGTGATTGCTGGCTATGATTTGTTTGTCATCATAATAGACAAGGGCTACACATAATATATATTTTATCTGGACCCATCATCATTTAACATACATGAAAAGTACTATTGTGTAGAAGAAACATTAGATTTATTCTGGGTAGTCTCAAAGACAGACAGACTAACAGACAGTTGCTCTACAAATATTAGCTGAATTCTTATTGGCCAAATGCTATACTAGGCACTGCATAAAAATGGGAAAAAAATAATTATGTCTATAAATAAAAACAATCCCCTTAAAAACTACTGCCTTTGAGTCTATCCCGACTCCTAATGGACCTATAGGATAGGACTAGAAGTGTTCTATAGGATTTCCAAGACTGTAAAGCTTTATAGAGGCAGCCTGACACATCTTTCTCCACATCTTTCTCCCATAGTGTGGCTGGTAAGGTCTAACAACCAACCTTTTGACTAGCAGTTAACTACTGTGTACTACCAGGGATCCTAATAAGATCTAAGGTTTATAAAGTCTAAGATTATATGAGATTCCTCGATGCCAAGCAGTATCTATGGACTTTATTATCTCATGTAATCATCATGATTTTGAGTGACTATCATTTGTTGTTGTTGTTAAGTGCTGTTGAGTCAGTTCTGACACATAGGGTTTCTGAGGATCAGCTTAAACCTCTGACCTTGTTGATCAAACCATCCTTGCAGTCCAGCACATTAATCCACAGCACCACACCAGGACTCCCTCCACACCAGGATTCCCACTAGTGTTTATTTTACAGGGAGAAAGGAAAGTGGCGGTACAGAGAAATTTACATAGCTTTCTCAAGAACACATGACTAGCAAGTGGCAAGCTATGATTTGAACTTTCACAGTATGGCTCCAGAGCTCAAGCCCTAAAAGATGGCACTGAATTGCCTCTTTTTAAAAAAAAAAAACACAACTTATTGTTTACAGAGCAAATGAGTTTTCCATTCAACAATTCATACAGATTTTTTTCTATTCTCATTGATTGCAATCCCCACAATAGACCAGCACTTATCCTGCTTTGTTTCTATTTCACATTTCCATTCCTCCTCCTTTTCTAACCCTTCTGAACTTTGTAAATGCTGCCGTTTTGATGCAAAATGGTCGATTATTCTGAGATGTGAACATCTCCCTATTGCTTCTATTTCCCTTACAGAACTGTCTATAGTTTGACTACAATTGAGCCATGGGAGTGAGTTTCTTTCTTGACCAGAAGGGTTTATTTCTAGAACCTATGGGGCTCCACTGGCCTCCATCAGACCAGTAAGCCTGGTGTGTTTTTTCATGATTTTTGAGTTTTGTTCCACATTTTTCTCCCATTCTATCCTGGAACTTATTGTGAAATTATGGATCTAAGTGTTTAATGGGGAATAAAAGTGACCAGTCAAAATACTGTGTGGTTGTCTCGTGATATGGATGCAGAGTACCTGGTAGCAAGTTAAAGGGAACCACGGACCAAAGAAAGGTCAGGAAAGACATCCCAGAGAACACTGATGTCTAAGATGCAGCTGATAATCCCCTTGCCTTTTGATAATGTTAAGGAAGAAAATCAAAGGGATAAAATTAGAATGCAAATGGGGGAAATACTATATTCATGAGCTATTTTAATATGCACAGTAGAGGAATACAAACAGAAAGGCTTGTAGCACTGCAGAATTATAAAATTGCTAGGCTCTTGCTGAAGTACTCAGTTCTGGCCAGTCATTGGTGCTCCAACGTCATTTGAAACACTGGACAAGTCCATCTGGCCCTTAGGTGTCTTCCTCTGAAACACCGAGGCGCAGAACTAGAAACCATTGAGGTTCCTTTGGGTTCTGAAAGTTTAGTACTCTAAGATGCTAAACCTTACAAAGGGCTGTCAAAAAGTCAAGAACTTTTTGTAAATAAATAGTTCAGGAATGTGCTGTAAGAATGACAGGCTTGTAAAGAAAGTTAGATACATACAGTGATTCCTTTTCCTTCCCTTCCACCGTTACGTCTCCCTTTCTCTTGTTCTTTTTCTTTTATGCAGGGTGAGTTACTGAGTCCTTACACCAAATGAGGTAGGATGCTAGAACACTGCTAAGGACACGGAGATTGAGAAGCCAGAGTCTTTGTTTCTACGGGACTCCAAGGAAAATGAGGAAGTCAAGCATGGAATAGTAAAAATAACTAATATCTGAAAGCTTTTGGAGTTCCCGGGTTGTTCAAATGATTCACATGCTCAATAACTAACTAAAAGGCTGGGAGGTTGAGTCCACCCACAGTTCTAATCTGACATACATGGAGTTACCATGAGCTGGGATCAACTCAATGACAACTGGCTACAAAACTCTTAGAACAAACAAGGTACCCTTCTAAATACATTACACATTTTACTTGCTTAATACTATAGTAAGCCAGAGCTTTTCTTATCCATACCTAATAGTGGAGGAAACGTAAGCAGCAAAGTTTAATGATTTGCTATAGGTAGGGAATTGAACAGGATTCTTTCTCCTGAGTTCATGCTCCTAACCACAATATTACCCAAAGGGAACATAAGGATATGTTCAATGCAATTTCATAGTTCAATATATCTTCCATTTTTCTATGGTTCACTTGACATTTCAAATGATATTGTAGCTGCTTATTCATATAGGATAAAAACCAAATACCCTCCTCCCTCAAGTCATTGGGGAGCCTATATGCCATAATACATTAATTATCTTTGAGATTGTTAATATGACAAATAATATCATTACACAAATTCTTGACTTTCTCTCTCTCCCTCCTTAATAAGATAATAGGCTCTTTGAGAGGAAAGATGGTGACAGACTCCCTATAATATTTTCACTGTCTAGCCATATTCTTCCCATAAGTGGTGGTCAGTAAATATTTAATGATTGATTGTTGATTGAATGACTGTAAGAAATTTAACTGACTCCTTCCTATTTTACAATCTTACGTTGCCATCTAACAAGGAAGTTCACGTTTCAGTCATTGTTGTTGTTAAGTGCTACCAAGTTGGTTCTGACCCATAGAGACCCTGTTTCCAAGGTGAGGCTGGCGAGTTTGAACTGCCAACCTTAACGTTCAAACCAACCTTGCAGTCCATTGCATTAACCCACAGTGCCACACCATGTTGTTTATTTTTTATGTTACAGAAATTATTGGAAAATGTCCTTTTTTTTCTGTCAGAGGCTTCTACATATACACACACATACACACACAGAATTTAGGTGGCTCAAAGGACTTCTGGTGTGGCACTGTAGAATCATTTCTGGACTGTGAACCACAAGTTCAGCAGTTCAAATCCACCAGATGCTCCTTGGAAACCCTAAACAGGGTCACAACGAGTTGGAACTGACTTGACAGCACTTAAAAACAAAAACAGCATTATTGTGAAGGAGTCTTGGTGTGGAACTGTGGGATAAAGCACTGGACTATAAGGTCGGTTTGAACCACAATGTCAGCAATTCAAACTTACCTCAGAAACACTATGCAGGATTGCTATGAGTTGGAACCGACTCAATGACACTTAACAACAGTATTCTTGTGAAGTGGTCAATGTTCAACCATTTCAAGAGGCAGCATATGATCAAGACCTGATGGTACTAAATGAAGAAGTCCAAGGTACACTGAAGACCTTAGCGAAACACAAGGCTCCAGGAATTGGTGAAATATAAACTGAAATCTTACAACAAACTGATGAAGCATTGCAGGCACACACCCATCTATGGCAAGAAATTTGGAAGACAGCAACCTGGCCAATTGATTGTAAGAGATCCACATTTGTTCCTATTCCAAATAGAGGTGACTCTATGGAATGTGGCTATCATCAGACAATATCATTAATATCACAAGCAAGTAAAATTTTGCTGATGATAATTAAATGACAGTTTTAACAGTACATGGACAGAGAACTGCCAGATTCAGAAGAGGACATGGAGCCAGGGACATCAGATGGCTCTTGGCTGAGAGCAGAGATTACCAAGAGGTTGTTTACTTTTGTTTATTGATTATGCAAAGGCTTTTTTTTACTTTGTGGATCATAGCAAGCTATGCATAACATTGTGAAGAATGGGTATTGCAGAACACTTAAGTGTGCTTCATGAAGAACCTGTACATAGACCAAGAGGAAGTCATTAGAACAGAACAGTGATACCGAATAGTTTAAAATCAAGAAAGGTGTGTGCCAGGGTTATATTCTTTCACCATATTTATTCAATCAGTATGCTAAACAATAATCCGAGAAGCTGGATTATATGAAGAACTTGGCATCAGGTTTGAAGGAGGACTCATTAACAACCTATGTTATGCAGATGATACAACTTTGCTGGCTGAAAGCAAAGAGACCTTGAAGTACTTACTGATGAAGATCAAAGATCACAGCCTTCAATATGGGTTGCACCTCACTATAAAAAAATCCTAACCACTGGACCAATAAACAACATCCATATAAATGGAGAAAACATTGAAGTTGTCCAAGATTTCATTTTGCTCAGATCAACCATCAACACTCACAGAAGCAGCAGTCAAGAAATCAAACAACATATGACATTAGGCAAATCTGTTGTACTAGACAAAAGATATCAAGTTGAGGA